AATCATTATAAAGTTGTAAGATAAAAGAAAAATGCGCGGGATAATTATATATGCGGGACGATTATGAACTATGTTATACTAATTAAGAAGAATGCTATAGGGTAAAGTTCTTCATCCTCCTCTTATTATAAGAGCACTTTACTAATTATATAATCATTTATATTATACTTTATAATTATCTTCTTCTTAGGGTTAAAATAAGCAAGAACTGGCTTCTTCGAAATAAGGTCCTTTAAGGCCTAAAACGCCTTAGTATAGCGGTTATCCTAGATGTGCCTTGCATTCTTCTTTAACAGGTTATTTAGCGGCCTTGTTACCTTACTAAATCCTAAGCAGAATTATTAATAGAAGTTGACAAACCCTAGAAATCTCTGTACTATATAGATATCTCCTGAGTTAGGTTTCTCTTACTCCTGAATAACTTGTATACGCTCTAGATCTATCTAAATGCCCTCTAAAGTTATAATTAACCTGAGATACTTTATTAATTATATATAGAACTTGCTTTTCTTAATATTAGCCTAAAGATTACTTTTATAAAGAATCTGTAAGACTTCTTATATATGTTACTTATATTCTTCTCTTATTTAGCTAAAGATTAAAATATTATTTAGATATAATATAGCAAATTTTTTAAGCATTTTTATAAATTTCTTATTTATAAAGTATTAAAACATTACTAATATAAAGATTAATCTAAATAATAATACCTTATATTAATAGTTGCTATACATAGTACTAAATATAATAAGTTTATAGTCCTCTTAAAGGTCTATAATCTAATCCTCTTCTTAAATCTTTACTTTATAAGAAAGCTGTCAGAAATCCCTTAAGAATATAATATAGGTCTTGCTGCCTTTGCTATAAGTAGTAATATTTCTTATAAGTAGTCTCTTATTAAAATAAAGAATTAAATTAAGTTAAAAGGTCTATAAATATATCTAAAATCTAGGCCCTTTTAAAGTCCTTAAAATATGACTTAAGTAATTTCTAAGCGTTATTACTTATGTATAATTATATATAGGTGACCTTAGATAGCTCTGTCAAAAAGAGTACTGTATTAACTATAAACTTCATTTTTATAACTAATAACTAAGAGCGAAACTTCTAAAGAGGTCTATCCTTAAAAATCTCTAGGTAGGGCAGCTTTTCTGTCTTTGTACTAAGCACTATTAAGGGGCTTAGAGTCGCTTTAATAAGGCCTGCCTTTGAAATAGTGACTCTTGTTCTGTTAGAGTCCCTAATAAAGATTCTACTTAAACTTGCGGCTTTAGAGTTGCTGTAATCTTATTACAGAGATTCTAGATAATCTCTTCTTTGTTATAGAGTTGATCTTTTAGAGCTTTAATCTTAATACTAGTGCCTTTATTAAGGTCTTAGTATCTTTCTTCTTAAGTTTTCTTCTCTTAAAGGGCTTCTTAATGCTTAGCCTCCTTCTTTAGGCGAAGGGCTTTCTCTTCTTTATAGGTAGCTACTAATGTTAATATAAATGCTATTACGTACATCTGATTCTTATTAATCAGTACTATAAAGGCTAGGAGAGCTAATAGATCATCTGCTGCTTTCTCTGTGTGCTTAATTAATGCGCACAGAACATCTTAATCTGTAGAAGGGGCTTTGTCTAGGCTCCGCCTCTAGTTGCTTAAGGAAGAATAGTGTCACGGCTGCCATGCTTGTCAGCCGCTAGCGCTAGGGCCGCCAGGTATTAATTGGCACTACGCGTTAGTAAGGGGCATGCTCACTATATAGGAGCGATCCTAGTGCTATCCTCGTCGGCTCTGCAGTCTTAGGATAGCACTTAACATGGGCTAAAGATCTCGTGCACTCGTCGCCTGCTTCCAACGTGACACGTGACATTATCCTAAGACTGCTCTTTGACTGGAAACGATCGTTAAACTATCGACTGCAAGAGATCTGTATCTCTGGACCCGTCGCCAGCTCATTCTGGGTCGGTGTTGACATTCGAGGTCGGACTCAAGTTTAAAGCAAGCCTCTCTAACACCCTCTGCGCCCCTGACAAGGTTAAAGAAGACAAGGAGATTCGGACCTCTGAATTCAAATAAGCGGGATCCTCGTACCTAGCGAGTA